ATATATACCCAAATATTGAATACATTCAAAAATAAACTGTTACTACCTAAGTATACACTATCGTCTATCACTATGATAAAACATTGTTCGATTATAAATTAATGATTATCTACTGAATCAAATGCACTGCAATAATACCATAATATTTGAAAGTCGTCAATAAGCATTTCTAAAAAATATTAATGAATTTTAAATATGTTATAACTAAAAAAAACCTACTAAAAAATTCACACATTGCAATAAATACGACCCAGATCGGCCACTCTGAATGAAATAATAATATAGTGAAACATCGAGGGGTCCCTCTCTACAGATCTATACTGGTGAAAATAATTTTCTCCACGTACACGACGAAATCCAAGGACGGTAATCGGTACATAATATCGTACATTGTGAAACATATGTCTCTCGTTCACCAGAATACGTGAGGTACTTATTTTTATTGTATTTTTTTCATATTCGATGACTGTTTGAAATATTAAATGCTCGTATGTCATAATTTACACATACCTACATCAATACATACATACATACATACATACATACATACATGCATACATACATACATATATACATACATACATACATACATACATACATACATACATACATACATACGTACGTACATACATACATAAATACATACATACGTACATACATACATACATACATACATACATACATTCAAACATACATATTTACAAAAGAAACTAATACGAAATGACATTATAATTACCGTCACAGACTTAAACCAAGGATTTTGAGAGATGTGTTCAAAGCACACGTATATAAATATTATAATAAATAATAATATATGGTCGCATCTGCTTTCCCTAAAACTTTTTAAGCTAGCTTTTTGGCACATACTTCATATTTGGTAGAAAAAAAATCACCATACAAAACATATTCACGTCACACAAATTTCGAATAATTTTAAATCATACAACTATCTTACACTATTCCTACATCACATAATTTTATAATATATGTACAGTCCAGACCGACCAGACATGTCTAAATTCAAAGTGAGTTCATACACATAAATGGTACGTCTAAAGATATATTTGTCGTTTCACCGTTACATACTCTCCTAGTGAGGTCCTTCCCTTGTTATTATTTACCGATTCATGACTTAAGCACCGTGTGACCTAGACTGTGCCAAAATACATATTTCCATAATACTATACGTTCCTAAACACTGCATATTATGTACAATACTACAATGTACATGTATATATTATAATATTAAGTACCTATATATTTTAATCCATGAGAATAATATTACGTGTAAAACTTTTATTATTACGCATTATTTATATTGTTGTTATTGATGTTTTTTTTTTTCATTCCTGTTGTTGTTATTGTTGTTGTTGTTGTTGTTGTTATTACTGTCGATTTTGTTTTTGCTACACAATGGAACAGAATAATATATAAACACGAAATTTTTAAGCAATAAAAGTTATCTTGTATAATAATATTCTGCATACCTATAAGCTATATTAAACCACAAATGATGTTGGTTTTACTACTTATTTTCAAAATTAATATAGAACACTTMAAAATAATATATCATTATTACAATATATTGTAAATATTTAAAACGGTTGATGGCCGTAATTAAAACATAATATGGATCCCTCAATAATATTATAATCGTTCCAATCAATTATTTAGTTCAAACTCTACACTAAGCGTAGTTACTTTCGTTGAATCTTTGTAATTATATGGAGACATATATAACTCATTTCAAAATTAACTTCCAAAAAAAAAACCTAAGTTTTCGATAACATAAATTATTAATATTTTTACTGTAAGCTATTATAGATATTAGGTAGATAATATTATAAGCTAACGTTTTACCAGAGCGCGTGCAATGCGTGCATATTCAAATATATAAATCTATCAACAACATTTGCTGCAGGTACTGTCGACATATTATGTTTTATAAAAATTACATTATTCGTTCGTACTCCAATCATTTTGAGTTACCATATGTGATTAATTTTAATTGTACCTATTTATTTTAAGGCTATGATATATTATATTGTGCATGTGTGTGTTAATGTGTTTTTATTAAATAAATGCTTTTAACTGTAAAATATAATTGTGTGTTTATTTATTATATTTTTCCCATAAGGTGGATAGGATCATCATCCCTTGGTGGGTAAATATATGTTATATAATACGTTCTACCACCACCTCCAACAAAACCTATATGGAAAAGGCGAGAGCTAATACAGAAAAGTACAACTATGAATATAAAAATAATATATGCAGAACAAAAAAAAAAAAAAAAAAAAATAATACATTTGCAAAAACAACGACGATTGCAGAAATACGGCTACGAACGATATAAATATGCAAAACAAACGTATTGCGATTGGTGCTTGGATTAAAAATGAATTGAAAAAAAACACAATAGGCCACGAGAGGCCGAAAATCACCTCGCGAAATGAATTCCAATATGTGTATAACTGTATGTATTATTTTTAAGGGAATAACAATACTCCATCTATAATAAAGATTTATACTATTGGACTTTTCTCGATTATTTTACATTTCAACTATTAAAATATTAATTTTAAAACAAAAAATTTAAATTGTTTCACCAATAGTATATTATGCCTAATACAGGGTGATTCACCAACATGATCATACCTATTTTTCTTAAATAATGAAGTAATTCAAATCTGACTTTTGGAATCTTTAAATATRATCAAAAATCGTATTTCAAATTCTTAGATTCTTTTGTACCACTATGGAATGCACGGAGTCGATACAAATTTTTCAAATGGGAATTCCCTTTTTTACATTAAATTATTTAATGGATGATTTTTTTGAGAATTTTSATGTATCGAAATCAAAATTCAATCGAGAAGTTTCTTAGTTATTAAAATGTGATAATAGTCTTTAAAAATCATTTTACAGAAGTATAAAACACACGTACAATTGGAACTAGTATTTATGATACTTAGGTCGTTTTTACAAATTATTTACGTTGACAGATTAATATTAATGACTCATATTTTTAAATACCTCATACATACCACATATTTTATAATCCTTAACCATCGATCTTTTATTCTTAGATCACAAATTCAATAACTCAAAAACTACTCATTAGAATTTTGATTTAAAATTAAATAATTTACAGAAATGTATTGTTCTCATTTGAAAAACAAACTTTGTATCGTCACAATACACTTCTTAAGTGGTAAAATGAATCTTAAGAATTTGAAAATATGGTCTTTGGGTGTACTTAAATATCCCCAAAATCAGATTTTGTATAACTTCATCATTAAAGAAAAACAAAGAGGATGAGCATGCTTGGTGAATCATCCTGAATTTAAAGCGCCAAAAACACAAGGAGTATGGAGGCACTACATTATTTTCTAATAATTAAGTTCAAAGTTCTAATCTAGATATCATTATTGTGGGTGGAGTTAAAATTGATTTGCTATCAGATCACAGAACAAAACAAATAACATTCTTATATATCTTTACCACCAACTAAAATGGAAAATTAGTATTTTAGCTGTGCACTTAACTCAGATTTTTTTTTAATGTCACTTATACACAATGTGTTATACACTAGGTGCCTCATATAGTTTATTAAATTATTTTTTCTCAAAATTACTCCCAGGTGTGTTAAGTATATTTTAAGTGCTTTTGAAACATTTTTTCCCATCTTATACAAGATGATCCATTTAAGTGGGTACACAAATTACCTCGAAAAGTTTTAACTGTTTTTTTTTTTAACTTTTAAGTTTATGTTTTTCTAAAACAGTTTTATATTTAAATTTTTTTTCACCCTTATATTTATTGGTGAAACCACTATTAACTTTTGATTTTCAAATGGTAACATGTAATAAAAATATCATGAATTAATAAAACCATTTTTATTATAAATTTACGCTTTTAACATTTTTATTTTTCATTGATTGGCTTGCGAAATACAACTCCTCAAAGTATTGGTGATTGAAGGAGATTTTATCGTCAATAAATGCGGAATTGTTTAAACTATTTCTTCATTTGTAAAGACTAGGAGCTATAAACTGATAAACTCGATACTGTTCGGCCTAATAGGTAACAATATTTTATACCTGATTAATTKAATGTCTTATTACACCTATATGCAAATTTTACCATTGAAGCTACGTCTAGTTAACCTTGGCTATCGCAGTGTTATCGGATCCCCTTCATTATTTTCACTATGTCATGACAATATTATGATGTCATTATGACGAACATACAATATTATTACCATACAACAATAATAATTATATTACCAATATTTGGCGATACATTTATAACTATTTATGACCACGGTCTTATTAGATAATAACATTGATTAAAATATATGTTATTAATTAATTAATTATTAATGATAAAAGTAAAAGAAAATCAATTAGTTGTKATAAACCAATACTAAAGTTTAAAGTAAAATGTGAATATTAAATTGTAAAGTGTAAACCATGTGGGCAGCATACCACTTATTGCTTAAATAGTTGAGCATTAAATAATTGAAATTTATAATGTAATTAATAATAAAAAATACTTTTATTTCAAACTATATTTTATTTTTTGTTTTGCAACTGAATAGTTCTTTCTGTTTGTTAGGTATTTATTACCATTCCATTAWTTTTTTAAAAATTTATCGATTTAATTATTTATTTATATAACGCCATAGCTTTTAAATATTTACTAAAAATATTCTGTTATTATTCATTGAAGTAATCAAAATAATAGTAGTTAAATAAGTAAGATTAAGTACATGCAAGATTTTGTATTTTGCTAAATATTGTTTGGAAACATATTGTATCACGGCGAAATGTATAGGCAATATAGGTACATTATTGTGAGGAATAGTTTCGAATATATTGGGTTCGTAGTCTTGTAAAGAATACTTTTAATTTTTATATTGTATTGAATWGTAAATAAATTAATTTAAAAAAATGATTTATCACAACTACTTCTGAGGTTTATGTTGTTTTCGAAAATCACTTGATTAGAAAATTTTGAACCTGCACTCGAAACCCATTGGTGCATAGACATTAGACACAATATTAACCAACGATTGTTGGCTGCTCTGGTTCTTGTTGCTGATCTGGCGGCGGGTTCTCTTCTTCCAATACTCCTTCTTCGACTTCACCTTCAATATTTGTATCTTCCTCGTCTCGGACCTCCTGCTGAGCCAGCCACAACTTCACTTCACCGTCCATCTCGTCGTAGTCGTGTGGGAAAAATTTAATAGCATCGTCAATGCCCACCTCTTGGTCTGGACTCACGTAAATTGGCCCAACGTCAACGAACCGCAAAAGACTCTTATCATTGTCATCCATGAGCACAGACAACACCAATTTGGCCTCTTTGCTATGCAAAAAAATATGTTTATAGGCAGGGGCTTCTTATAATTAGAGTATGGATGACATGATAAAAAAATTACAAAATTACAAAATTACAAAAACGTTATACGTCGATGACATCACTGAGTTTATCCCTAACAACAACTTTTATAGTTTATTGGATTTTTTTATTGAAAACAGAAAAACTAACATCTAAAATACCTAACTAAAAGAGTCATAGTTTAGGTTAATATGTAAAAAGTTAAATAACTCATGTCCATTAATTGATCAAATATTTAGGTAAGTTTAAAGTTTAAGGGTGTCATGTTACGACAAATCACATACGTTTTGTGAAGACTTATATAATATTGAAATTAACAAATAAACCAACAATACTATACCAACATGAAATAATAAATTATGAGATCAAAATATCATCATGGACAAACCATGGTCAGATTCAGACCGTCAATATTATTAGCGCCCATTATTCATGCTTACCGATAGTTTTAAACAGTATACAAACATTGCCAACTGTCGAGTACCTAGAATACTATTTTATGTGCACATTTTATACAAGCTTGATCATTTCTATTCATTAGAATATTTTATAATTATAAAGTGACCTGATATTACTATATTAAAATTACATTATGTTTTAGTCAAAAAAAATGTATATTTGGGCGGCGTACCAATATCAATATAAATTGTTTTCATATATTATAATATTGTACTTATAAAATTGTATTATTTATACAAATCTGAATTATTATTTATCATTTAAAATTACATTTTTGAATTTGAGAAAGTGAAAACCTCTGTTTTCCCAATTACATGCGTGACGAAACATCGAACATGTTTTAAATTTTAATACAAACAAAAACTGCGTAAATTTACGAATGTTCAACTTCCTAATTAATTATTACGACTTAAGAGTTTAAAAATAAAATACTTTTGACCACTAACTTTATTGTTTTAAAGGCTGTCTAACCGATCTTGATGTATGCAACAAGTGAAGAAAATCAAGTAATTTACTATGCATGAAAATTAACTTCACTAAACTTTAATATTACTTACATATTCCATAGATACGATCTTATTTTATCGAGACTTCAAAAAAATGATCATATGTTTGATTTCAAACAGAAAATAGAAAATGAATTACCATGCAGTGTTTTTATTTACTGTACATCCAAGTGTGTGTTTAATTTTTAATAGTATAGGTTCGTATAATTTCTAATTTCTATAGAATGTAGGCTTAACTTGTGTGTATTTATTTACATTATAATAATAAAATTGAACGCCTACCCAACTTTTTCCATGCCATATGTAGCTAACAATTCGGGATCTTTGCAGAGTAGCTTAGGTTTTTCAGGATCAGCACTACGGAAAAATCCGTAATAGACTACTTTTTCTTCGAGATCCTCGATGATCGGTAACACGATGTTGGATTTGTTAATATCAAAAATGACAAGGTACTGTAAAAAAAATAATGCACTAATATATGTGTTTACCTAAGCTGGTGAGTATAAGTCAAAATTTGGTTTGGTGACCATGACTATGCAATGTGATTAAAAAAGAATTAAAAACAACATCGGCGTCTACAGTGTAATGATGTGCTCCTAAGCCATCATATCTTTTTTAAATTTAAAATGTATAATAAAATAATAATAATAATTGATAGTCATTAAGAATAAAATAAKTTACAAATATTGAATGGGACAAAATAGATATTATACACACACATGACGTATAAACGCACAACATTAGAGCTGAGTTACAGTCACATGTACACACGTGTAATTACTGTATTTTTGTATAGACGTTCTAAGGCGAGTGTAACAGACTTCGTAGATCTGTTATTTCATATTATATTAATTATCAAATTTGCCCATTGTACATAATGTTGTATAGATTGTAAATTACTTAAATAAATAAATAAAAAAAAAAAAAAAATCGTATATGTAGAAAGTTAATGTTTGTCATAATAAATTAAAAYGCTTATGTCGTATATGTTGTTGTGTTTAAAATATTAAATAAAATTAATAACAGTGAACCAGAAAGAAATCTTTTTATTCTAAAATACAAACCGGTCACCTCATTATATCCTTAATACGCTAACCATGATTCCAACGGGCAAGTCACAACAAGGACTGGAAAGATAATATATTAWTTTATAATTCAATAATTGATTTAGAGACACATAACCGTGTTCAGGTAATTTTAAGTCTTTTAATTAATTACAAAACATAATATAAAAAACTTAAAACGTTGTATTTCGTGTAACTAAATCAGTTCTCTAACCTGTGGTAAAGGTGGTTGGGGTGCAACGTATCCAATGTTTTGACAGAATTTRCTGAACAAAATGGTCAACGCCGAAGCTTTACTCAACGGATTTCTGGGCGTATATATCGATGGTAATATTTGTCCGGATTCGTTTACTTTCTTATGTATATCTGCAAGCCTATGATACATATTATGGTTATTCTAATCTTCGTAACACCTAATATTTATTCTTACGTATTAAAAATATTAAAATAGGAGTATCTCCTAAACCGTCAGCTCCTCAATATATACTTATTTATTAACAAAAAATATTCAARTGAATATAATATTACATATTATATAAGCAATTATTAAGATCAAGTGTTTATATCAATTTAATTTATAGCGTTTTCCGCCACACCGCACTATTGCACCAAGGTGGATCAGGTATACTTATCATGWTAATGATAAGGCGCATGAGCTCTAGGATCTCGTGTGATTATCATTCACTAGGTGCAAAAAACTGCCATAGTGCATTGAGGTTAAATATGAAAAAGTACACTCAGTGCACCTTAATCTTGCAGATGAAACATAAAAATATGCACTGGTACAGTCAGTGCAGTGTAGTGAAAAACGCTATTAGGATACATCGGTAAAATAATAATAATGATAATACTAAATCAGTATTTTAGTAAGAAATGTTCGAATAAAGTATTTTAACTTACTTACTATGATTAAGAGCTTGATTATTAATAACTTGCGTTATTATATTGTTTATAATATAAATATTTACTTCATTACCAGCTATATTATAATTTATTAGATAGTTTAGTTTCACACTGTTTAGTTTGTTTAGATATTTTAATTTCCATGTTTTAAGCTAGATATTTTCCATATGAAATAAAAATAATAACTTGATTATTTTGCATGTTATGAACATTATATAASTTCATRTATAATTAGGTATTATATTTTTTGCTATAGTCTCACAAAAATAATACCTTAACAATTGTTTAAAAAAGTGTAGTATTCATTTAGTCAAATAGATTTTCCAGATTATAAAAAATGTCTAATGTGTATATAAGATAATATTTTATACATTGTATCTATAATATATTTATTATATTTATAAGAGATTACTACATAAATTGGTAATCAGAGTTCTTGATTTTCTTTTTTCTTTTTTTGTGGATACTTCACAGGCGATAGCGGGACACTAATACATTTTTTTTCTTAATTTCAGATTTAAATATTTAATCAATTAAATATAATTATAAAACTGTGCTTCGATTGACCTCTCGAAAATGTAGTGAAAAATTAGAATATTTCGTTAGAATGCAAATCAAGATAATCGTTTCGTAATCATTCCAACGGGTATCTGGTCACTTCCCCGTCTGACATTTCCCCGTCACACGTTTCCCCGTACGACATTTCCCCGTCCATATTGTATTTATTTCTAAAATATTCAAACTATACCGAGATCGTGTAAATATAATAATATGTGTAATATAATTAATAAAATATAAGTAATAAAAATACAAATAAATTATCATAAAATATATTTTAATGTTGTAGTTCTAAATTATGAGCGATTCMAATTAAGTACTCATCTAGATCACGTTCATCATATGTAATATTTTCTATACGCCTAGCAAGATCTCGATATTTTTTCTTTTTTGCTGAAGGTTCCTGTTCAGCAAAATTGATTAATTTTTACTTCAGTTAAATGTTGTTCTTTTTTAAGAACCTCAATAAGTCRCCATATAGTAGGATGAACCGCAGCTAACAAAGACGAGAATGCTCTATGGCCTATGCCAACCTTCAATATTATTGTTTGTTTTTGGTAAACCTGCTTGTTTAGCATCATATTGGTTCCACAATTTCAAATCAAATATTGGAGGTCGCCGTAYATTTCTTCGAGTTGGTCTCCCAATCTAAGTCTCTTCAAAATAATCAATTAAATGGATTAATAACTSTTCATYGTCTACAAAAAACTGTTRAGACATTAATTTATCAAATTTAGTTTATTTATATTAGTCTATCGACGAATCATTTGGATTTTACGAAAAATATTAGTCGAAAACATATAACAATAAAATAGCGAAATGTAGACGTATATAAAATATTGAGTCTACATAATGATGAACGTGATCTAAATGAGTACTTAATAATTGGAATCGCTCATAATTTAGAACTACAACATTAAAATATTTTATGGTAATTTTTTGTGTTTTTATTACTTATATTTTATATTTATGAGTATACTTATAATAGACGGGGATATGTCGTACGGGGAAACGCGTGACGAGGAAATGGCAGACGGGAAAGTGTCCATGAATCTTCCAACGTATTGATGAAATAAGAGTTGTCTGTTTGAATGGAGAAACGTAGGCTTAARCTTCGTTGTAATACGTTTTTCAGTAACCTAGTTATTGTTTTTCTAAATTATTATCATTCTAATATTGAATGTTAGCATTATTTGACTATCTCGGCAACCATCCAGACTAGTTCCATTTTATYATTTTAACACACGCATTTGTTTTTTAAGTTTTGTGAATTTGAATATTAAAGTCTAAATAGCGCTAGGATGTTTGTATTTATTTAATTCATACAATTAGAGTAAAATTATTCATAAATATAATTTTACATTAAGGTTACGAATGCGTGTACGTCTTAGACTTGGTTACAAATWTTAGTATGTATATAATATAATCAAAGGTATTATAGGTACAATTATGTAGTATGTTACTACATAGTACATGTTGATAGTTAAAACTTTAAAAGGTACTTACGAATTCGGACTAGGGTTTAAYGGAGTTCCGTTGCCGTAAATTATTTTGCTTAACTTCTGTTCTATTACTCCCATTAAATCGATGGGCTCAGGTAAATTTTCGTCTTCTTTGGCGGGTTCTTGGGTAGTATCTTGTTTTATAGTGGGCATAGACAACATTACCGAATATACTTTTTTACTCAACAG